GAAGGAGTAGCTGCCACTAGTGTCCAGGATTTCCACCTTGACCGTGGCGCCGCTCACCTCATACTCCTTGCTGTGCAGCTCCTCCACCGTGCGCCGGTGCTTGGGCTCAAAGGTGTCCATCAGGAAGCGGCGGATGAGGGCTGTTTTGCCCACGCCAGCAGCGCCCAAGAAGACCAACCGGACGTGGTTCTTCTCCTTCACCACCAAGGACATGGCTGGGCGCAGAGGGGATGGGACGCTCCACGGCTGGCACTCACGCGTGTCCCTGGGTGGCTGCAGCTCCGGCGTCCGTCTGGCGTCCGTCTGTCCGTCCTCCCCTGCGCCGGCTCGATGCAGCCAGGGAAGTTTGGTGTCACCTCCCTGCAAACTTGTCCCAGCCGTACTGCCGCAGATGCTACAGTCCCCAAGTCCAGCTCGTCTTTTATCCTGGTTCCTCTCTGCCATGTGGCACCAGGCTGTCCAATCTCTGTGGGTTGAGGGTGCCGAGGGAGGAGAGCAGGGTACTCCGGGCCAATCCGCAGAGCTCAGTCCTGGAAAGCCACTCCAGCCCTGGAGAGCACTGCGCTACATTGCACATTGCACTTGCATCACCCGCCGCTGCCTGTAGCGCAGGGGAGCCAGCAGCATCGCAGCCGTCATGCTGTGTGAGCAGTCCTGCCCTTTTATCCTTCCTGGAGATTAACTTGGCGTGGGCTTGCTGGCAGCAGGGGAGCTCGGTGAGGCTCCCCCACCCATTGGGTGGCTCATGGCCGGACCGGGAAGGGGCTGGCCGGTGTCACCTGCAGCATTCCTTGCGCCTCTCTGGGGCTGGAGACTTGTTTGCAGATGGGTTTGCTGCAAATGTGCCAACTCTTCCATGAGCCTATGAAATATTTGACTGGAGGGAAGAAATCAGATCTCCCTGAAACCCGTGCGTCATAACCTCCACGTTCAGCTGTCAGTTATTGGGTGATTTTGTGAAATAGTGAACCTGGGGGGAAGATAAACCCTCCCTGAAAACGATGCGTGGCGGCGGTGGGGTGGTGGTGGCGGCGAGGGGATGCGGAGCAGCCGTGGGTGGGAGCGCTGGCCGTGACCCGGCTGCAGCAGAGCTGTGACCCGGAGCCGTTGGTCCATTTACCGGGCGGAGCGGCGGGAGGTGTGTCGGTTCTCCTCTCCGCCTGGGCGGGCATCACATCTGGAAGCGGGTTTGCTCGCAGGCGTGCAGGTTGCCCCAACTGGGTGTGTTTCCGCAGCAGAAATGCTGGAGTTGTTTCAGGACCTGATTTACGCAAGGTGCAAATACAAAAGGAACTCAAAATAAGTTTTTATCTTAAATATGTACGTGTGTGGGTTTTTTTTTTTTAGCTTTGGACTTGTTTTTGTAGTTTTAATGCAGTCGGTTTTCTTTCCATAGCAAAGTACCGGTTTCAGTGTTTACTTCTGGCTGAATTTATTCCATTGATTTCAAAAGCCCTTTTCACAAGAATTATTCCTGCCTCTTAATTCCCTAATTATTGTTAGATTTTAGCCATGTTAAGAGCTTTCCCTATTCGATCTTATTATTTGGAGAGCCAAGAGACTGCACTGGAGTGAGCAGGGGCCTGTCCTCAGCTCAGCCTGCCCTGGGAGAATGGGAAGGTTGGGTCCCTGCCAGGGCTGGCAATGGGACTGGTGTCTGAAAACACCCAGTACACCACGGCGCCCGGTGGGGTTTTGCACCACCTTTGCATCACCTTTGAGAGAAGGTGATGCACCTTCTCTCACCAGCATGAAGTTCTTTGTGGAGAGACTTACGGTGCCGTGGGGAGAGCCCAAAGCTGATGCCAAGGACTGTGTCGTAGGCGTTAGAAGGCTCTGGGGACACAGAAGACGTGATGGCATGTCCATAGGATCCCAGTGGGCCAAAAAGCAGGAGAAGGGGTGGGTGAGCGGAGGGCGCTGGGTTTAAGGATGTGAACGAAGCACGCTGTGGTGCTTGGCGTGCCGTTGACATCAGTGGAAATGAAGAACTGAAGACAGTGAGGGAGCAGGGCGTGACAAGTAATCTCAACCCCGTTTTGGAAGCTGTCTAAAGCTAAACCTTTTTTTTTTTTTTCATTAGAAAAGAGCTTGGTTTCTTTGTGCTTAGATCGACAGAATGGCAGGGGTTTTGAAGAGAGGAGGTGAAAGGGGTTTCCCTCCAGGTGGCTCTGACGAAGCTCTGCGGGGCTCAGCCAGCTCTCGGGAGGAGCCGGGCGCCTGTGTGATGCTCTCACCACTGCTCACTTTCCCATTATTACATTCCAAAGCTCCTCCAAACGTGGATCTGTTCAACCTCACAACATCCAGCATCTCTCTTACAGGTGCAGGAATGGTGAAGGAGGAATCTGTGTCAGGAGGGAACAGGGACCTGGTCTCCAAACACCCCATCCTGGCTCTAAACCATTGCCATCACCTTGCAGGGAAGCATGAGCTTGCATGAGCTGATGGAAATGCTGGGAAAGGCTGAGCAGCCATGGAGTGTTTCCCAAATTGTGGCCAGGAAGGTGCCCCTGGTGCCATAGGACCCAGCACTGGGTCACATCACTACTGCTGTCAGCTCTTCGAGTCCTTCCTGCAGAGAGTAGATGTGCTCGGCGTGGCCGGGGTAAGGTGAAACGCCAGCCCCGGCTGTGTTAGACGAACGTGTCGCAGATAAGGACCTCCCCTGCCTTGGCGCTGCAGTCACACAGAGCCTGTCTCTACATCCCCCATGATTTTTCACATCAGTTGTCTCCCCTTGGTTTTCACATCTGTGCTGCTATGGTTACTGAGAGCCTGAAAGGTTTTAAATCTCCCTCAGAGCAATGGAGGATTTCAGGGCTAATCTTGTTAAGAGATGAGCAATGAATATTTCCAAAGGCCTTTCGCATGAATATCTCATTCCGTATTAGCTTATGTCCACTGACAGCGGGAAAGCAAAGCGCAGGGGGACGGCGTGTGAGGAAGGGAAGAAACCGGAGAAGGATGAGCGTGGCGACTTGTTTTCCATTGCAGTCTGTGTCCGCAGTGATGTGCTTAAATACTGTACTTTTCAAGGAGGACTTGGCCAGCCAGCTTGGGTCAGGTATTATAAAAAAGATTAATCATTAAAGCCTGTGTTTCCCCTCGGGAAAGACCTCTATGGGCACTCAGAGATGGGGACTCATGGATGAGCCCTACAGGAAAGCCCTGCATCCCATGAGCACTGGGGACCTGCCGAGGTGGCGTGCGGAGCTGAGATGGCTCTTGGCTTCAGCAGGGCTGTGGGAGCATCTGGGATCCATCCCCTGTGGGGTTTGGTAATCAGATGGAGTGTTGGATGCTGCACCGGGGGCACACGCTGCACCTCGAGGGGCTGGAGCACGGTGGGGGCAAAGCCTCTGCCAGTGCCAAGTGGGAGTGTGCCCTGGGCTGTGCTTGCGGGAGAGGAGACCCTGATGCCCCGAGGAGGGAAGGAGGCAACGTCCTGCCTGCAAGGAGAGAGGGAGGGAGAACAGCCCTGAGCTGGTGGCAGGGAGGAGTGCCGGAAGCGTGAGGAAGGATGAAGGGACGACAGCAGCAATGGGCAGGGCACAAAGGAACCGGAGGGTGGATTTGGGACAGTCGGAGCCCCCCCGGCAGCCCCCCCCAGGCAGGTCTGAAGCAAGGGGTGCGCGGAGATGTGCAACAAGAGGGTTCTTGGTCATCCTTACCCCAAAGCCAACCCTTTCTTGGGCCAACGGCCACGGAGCAGTGGGATACCACAGGGGCAGGTGAGGGGTGGTCCCCAAGGTCCCAGCCAGTGCTGAGCAGTGAGCTACGCTTGAAGCGCTGGCCACCCCCTGTCTGGGCGCAGCCCCCACGGGCTGGGTGGCCTTCTACAGTCAGGAGCGGGCAGTTTGGGACAGAACGCTGGAAAATGGGGTGTGTGCTGCTGCTTCCCACCATGTGCTGGTGGGGGAGAGCTGGGGAGCAGCAGCAGATGCAGGGACCCAGCGAGGCAGAGGAGGGAGCTGGACCCCTGCTCCTGGAAAAGCCAACAGCACTTAGGAGACAGTCTGGGCGCTGCACAAGTAACACGCTCCCCTCCCACTGCTGTTTGCAGCCCGGGGATGGGACACTGCGGTGCCTCTTCTGTCCCTGAACCAGCCCCTGCAGCTGCCTGGGAGGGACAGGCTCCTCTGCTGGAGGGGTGTGAGGTGAGTGCTCCCCAAAAAGGGTCCTAATGTACTGCCAAGTTTTGCTGCGTCTTTTCGAAACACTTGGTTTTATTTCACTAGCAAGATTTATGTTTGGTGCTTTAAAGTGATTGAGGGGGAACCTAAAAGAGCAGGTGAAGCTTTCCCACGGGCCAAGTACTCCCCAGCTCTGCTGCGGGACATGGATCCGCTGCGGGACACGGCTCCACTGTGGGACACGGCTCTGCTGCCGGACTCAGCTCCGCTGTGGGACATGGATCTGCTGCTGGACACGGCTCCACTGTGGGACACGGCTCTGCTGCCGGACATGGCTCTGCTGCCGGACTCGGCTCCACTGTGGGACATAGATCTGCTGCTGGACACAGCTCCGCTGCAGTGCTGAGGTGCACTTCAGTAAGATAATTCACAGACTTCAGGAACAGCCCATGGTCCCTGGGGATGTGTTTTTGGGGAGCTCCTATCTGGATGCTCAGCTGTCATGGTTCAGAGGGAACAGTGGCTGCCGAGGAAGCCGGGAGCAATGTGCTCCAGCACGGAGCTGGAGCAGCCAGTGCTGGGCATCGCTCCAGTCCTGGACATGGTGCCCCAGCAACCTGTGCTGCTCAGGGAGCGGATCGGCACCCTGCCGTCACCCCGTGCGGGGTGAAGCGTGTTCTTAGCTGCTGGGAGCAGTGTGCCTTGCAGGCAGCAAAGCATCGTTACAGATGTGGTGGCAAACAGTTTGCAGCTCTGTGATGCATTTCCATGAGTTTGGGCCAGCTTCTGGGAGCTGATACATCGCTGACCCCTGTGATGTGGTGCCCCAGCTCCCTGTGCCTTTGCACCCCGTAACAGGACACAGCGGCAGCGAAGGCAGCCTGTGCCCACAGGATGCTGCCACCCCACCCCCTTGTGCCTCTGCCTCTGTCTGCCCATGGTTAAATTCATGGTGTACGTGAGAGCGCACACTCTGTTTTCAGCAGGGCTTTCTGGTGTCCCAGCTGAAAAGGTGGGAAGGAACCAGTCAATAATCAGAAACCCCAATGAGACCATCCCTGCGGAGCGGCGTGTCCC